TGAGGCTGATCTTCTTGGTAGAAGAGTGTGGTGGAGGGAAGTCGCTCACATGATCAGACAGCAGAGAGAGACCCCACTCTCCAGATAGATGCCAAAGGCACGCCAGTGACCCACCTCCTCCAGCCACACCCTACCCACCCTACCCTGTTAATCCCTTTAGGGGATTAATTCACCAGTTGGGTTAACCTCAGCCTCCTAARCCAATGGGATTATAGGCATGTGCCACCACAACTGGCTCCCAGCTCTTTTTTATTAATTTTTTTTGAAACAGGATCTAAGTTGTCAAGGCTGGCCTCAAACTTGTGATCCTCCTGCCTCAGCCTCCTGAGTAGCTGGCATTGATCACAGGAATGTGCCATTGTGTGTACACAAAATGGACATTTCTTTTAAAGGATAGGATAAAACCTAATTAAACATCCTTTTTCTTATGGTACTGAAGATTGAAACCAATGCCCTGTTCATATTAGGCAAGTACTTTGCCAATGAGCTATACTCTCAGTCCTTTTAAAACTTATTTTGAGCCAGGCATGGTGGCGCATGTCTGTAATCCCAGCAGCTCTGGTGGCTGAGACAGGAGGATCATGAGTTCAAAGCCAGCCTAAGCAAAAAGTGAGGCACTAAACAACTCAGTGAGACCCTGTCTCTAAATAAAATATCAAAAATAGGACTGGGGATGTGGCTCAGAGGGTTCAACCCCCAGTACCCCCCCCAAAAAATTATTTTGAGACAAGCTCTTCCTAAATTGCTCAGACTGACCTCAAACTTGCAATCCTTCTGCCTCAGCCTCCTGAGTAGCTGGGATTACATGCCCAGCTGGAGGATTGATTGATTGATTGATTGATTGATTTTTGTACTGGAGACTGAACCCAGAGGGGCTTTACCACCAATCTACATCTCTAGCCCTTTAAAAAATTTTTTTTGTAGTTGTAGATGGACAGAATGCCTTTATTTTATTTATGTTTATGTGGTGCTGAAGATAGAACCAAGTGACTCACATGTGCTAGGCAAGCACTCTACTACTGAGCTACAGTCCTGGCCCTCTAGCACCACCCCCCTTTTTATTTTTTAATTTTTTAAGTTTTTGATGGACACAATACCTTTATTTTGTTTATTTTTTATGTGGTACTGAGGATCGAACCCAGTGCCTCACACATGCTAGGTGTGCAACCCCAGTACTGCCAGCCCTTTTATTTTTTATTTTAAGACAGGGTCTCACTAAATTGCTGTGGCTGGTCTTGAATTTGCCATCCTCCTGCCTCAGTCTCCCAAGTTGCTGAGATTACAGGCAAGTGCCACTGGATAATTTTTTTTTTAGTGTGATGAAATTATACTCTATTGATAGTATACTGGTGGATACATAACATTGTGCATGTGTACACCTATTGAAACAACTTTTTCAACTACAGTGCAGTATGCAAGTCTTTTGCCTTTAATCCTTCAGACTTTGCTTATTTCTGAAGTTACTTAGATCATGAGTTGTAAAACATCAGTATGGGGTCATGTTTAGCTTGGAGACATGTATACAGTTGGCCTTCTATATTCAAGGGTTCTGCATCTGCTGATCCAACCAACCAAGAATTGAAAATACTTTGGAAAAAATGTACCTATACTGAATATGTACAGACTTTTTTAAAAAAWTATCATTCCCCAAACAATAGAGATTTAAAAGTAACTATTTGTATAACATTTACACTGTATTCGGTACTATAAGTAATATAGGGGTGATTTACAGTATTCAGGAGGATGTGTACATGTTATATACAAATACTATGTTAAGTAAGGGTCTTCAGTATGCTCCAGTTTTGATACCCACAGAGAATCCTGGGAATTGATCCCTCTGGAGATCAAGTAATAATTATATACATACGTATAGAACATATGCACATAAATATGTGTAAGCATTCATAAATGTGGGTATAGAGGGGCTAGTTCACCTGTATATTTACTTGCTCCAACAGGTAAGAGGGTCTAGAAGCAATGACATCCCAGCAGCAACAATCACATCTAGTGCCCAGATCTTGGTTTCTTAACCAAGGAACAAAGGCGCTTTGGAGAATTGGTTGATTTTAGGTCTGGATCACTTTGTGCCCAGAGGTGTTCAATAAAATACAGTGATGGGAGTATGCCATGACCGCCCACTAGAAAAGCATTCAGTGGCCAAAGCAAAAAAGGATTTGAGTAATAAAGTAATAAAGCAGTATTGGACTATAACCCAGAGTATAAAATAAATATCCATAGGTCTATAATGATATTAATAAATTATGGAACAAACAAATAAACAAGAGGAGTGACAAATCTTCTTTATAGAGAATCCCACTCTCTTTCTCTCTTTTCAGTACTGGGGATTGAACCCAGGGGATTGAACCACTGAGCTATGTCCCCAACCCTTTTTATTTCTTATCTTGAGAAAGAGTCTCACTAAGTTGCCAAAGCTGGCCTCAAACTTGTGATCCCCCTACCTCAGCTTCCTGAGTTGCTGGGACACCATCCCCTGCCCCATTTGCTCTTAAAGAAGTGGAACTTAACTCCCTACTTCTTCAGCCTGGGCTTCTAATATTGACTTTTTCCAAAGTATACATTATAGAAAAGGAGAAACAAGAGTAAGTTTACAGTGGAGAAACCTGACAAACACTACCCCAGCCAGGTGCTCAAGATTAACATCGATAGTGATTATTTGTGTTGATAGCATGTACCCCAGATATGAGTTTGGTGGTTTACCTTCATGGTCTTCCATCTCAAAGTAACCCTGGTCTAATTACAAGAAAAACATGGGGTAAGTTACAACTGAGGGGATTCTTCAAAATACCTGCCAGTAGTCTTAAAATTGTCAAGGTCATCCAAAGTAAGGAAGGCTGAGCATAGTGACATACTCCTGTAATCCCAGCAGCTTGGGAGGCTGAGACAGCTGAGAGAGGAGGATCACAAGTTTGAGGCCAGCCTTGGCAACTAAGCGAGGTCCTAAGCAACTCAGTGAGACCATGTCTCTGGAAAAAAAAAAAAAAAGGTGGGGGGAGGCTGGGGATATGGCTCAGTTGGTAGAGTGCTTGCTTAGATGCACAAGTCCCTGGGTTCAATCCCTAGCACCAAAAAAAAAAAAAAAAAAAAAAAAGGAAAGTCTAGAGATCTGTCACAGGCAAGAGAAGCCTAAGGAAACACAGATTAAGTGTCAAGATGGCCTCTATGTGCAGTTGCTGGGACAGAATGCTAAGGTGGGAAACCAACAGACACACATCCATACATCCACAGTCTAGGGAAGCTTGTCCAGACTGCGTCTATGGCTCCCCCTCATTGTCCTGGCCCTCTGTGAAGATAGGGGCTGCAGTTCTTGATCTTATAGTGCCACAAAGATGAATCAATCCAAGCTGGGTTTGCAACCAGAGTTAGGACATTAGGCTTTGGAAACAGACTAATTGTCTTTTTTTTTTTTTTTTTTTTTTTTAACACAGGTGTGCTGGGGTACTGAGGATGGAAACCAGGGAGGGCCTCAGGCATGCTAACTCAGCTCTACCACCCAGCTCCATCCCCAGTTCCCCCATTTGTTACTTTTCAAACCAACAAATTTGTTTCTTTTTTACTTTTCAAAGTCACAAATGTGTTACTAAACCTCCCTATGTCTCTTCTTTTATCCTCCCCAAAGTAGGAGTTATAATTGTAACCACCATCATCAAATAGTTCATGAAGAACTCTTAAAATCAAGTTGGTAGGAGGTTTGGACTAGTCTCTGGATAGTGCTCAATAAATGTTAGCCCTTAATTGTTATACTTTTTATTATTCATTTAGTACACTTTTTTCTGATAGAACTTACTATAACTAAATTATTAAGCAGGTATTGGAAAACTGAAAAAGCAAAAGGCAGCACTGAGCTATCAGAATGGTTACTACAGGTAGCAACTATGACCCTATATTGGAGAATCCAAGGGAAGCAGTTGAAATTGCAATAAAAAAAAATTAATGGCTTATAGAGGATAATTTACATACCACAAAATCCACCCATTGGAAGTGTGCATACCACAAAATCCACCCATTGGAAGTAAACTTGTACAGGTGTGCAATCATAACAATATACTTTTAGAACATTTCTATTACTACCCCCCTTCACAAGCTCATTTGCATTCAACACTCACTTCCTCAATTAGCTGCTGGTACCTGTGCTTCCTGTCTATGTAGATTTGCCTAGAATAAAATTTTAAAATCCACTAAYAAAAGAAGATTGTGCAAAATGGATGAAATTTAGGAAAAGAATAAGCAACCTAAAATGTATCACAAGTGTGTGGGGGAACACACCTGTAAACTCAGCTACTAGGGTGTCTGAGGCAGGACGATGGCCAATTCAAGGCTAGCCTCAGTCATTTAGCAAGACCCTGTCTCAAAAAAAAAAAAAAAAAAAAAGGCTAGAGATATGGCTCAGTGGTAAAGCGCCCCCAGGTTCAATCTCCAGTATCACTCTCCACCCCCACAAATCTCAAATCTCAAATTATTTTAAAAGTAGGTCAAAATGGGTTGGGGTGGGGCTTACTGGCTGACCCGGTATTTCAAAAAGCCCGGCGCGGGCGCGGAGGAGAGACGCGAGGTGATGGGGAGCATGGGGTCCCACTGGGGCGACCTGGGGGTGGAAGAGAGCCGAGGGACCSGAGCGGCGGCGTCGGGGCGGCTTATCCCAGCTCTTTGGGAGGCAGAGGCAGGAGGATGGGAAATTCGGCAACTGAGATACTGGGTGAGGGAACGCGGGCTACAGTTTAAGTAACGGGGTTATCATCATCACTATGTGGTCATAAAGCAAAAAAATTTCTTTAAAAGGGGAAAAATAAGGAGCGGTTCCAGTTCGGGTGCGTAAGATTGGGGTGAGCTGTGAGGAATTTGTGATGCCAGAATCACACCTGTGGGCCGCCAACCCCAGCGGGACTAGCACCTGCGCCACCCAACGCGCAGGCGCGGCGCTCCGACTTCCCGGCTCCGGGTGCACCAGGCCCGCAGCCCGAGCTAGAGTTCCCATCGATCCCGATCTCCTAGCGATTGCTTCTGTCTGTTGTTTAGGTATGGCGCGGGCGAGGAAACCGAGAGACGGCTGGAACCGGGATCGGGACCAGAGTTTCGCTCTTTGCTGAGCGGCACCCAGGGCCTAGTGGGCTATGGGGGAGCCTGCTTCCTTGGTCACTGAAGACCACGCCGGTGGCCGGAGCTGGTGCTTGAGRCGGGTGGGGATGAACGCCGAGTGGCTGCTGCTGGAGGACGGACGCGAGGTGAGGGCAGGGGGTCCTGTTGTGGGGAGCGATGGGGTCCCGCTGGGGCGAGCTGGGGGTGGAAGGGAGCCGAGGACGGGAGCGGCGATGTCGGGGCGGCTGCGATGAATGGGGAAGCCRGGGGATGGGAGAGCGAGGAGCAGCAAGAGGTGGGATCCTGGGCCGCGTAGTGAGCGCGATCGCGGGCGCGCGGTGGAGGAGTCTGAGGCGGGAGGTGTTGGGGGAGAAAGATGAAAGGGTTCCACTCGGGGGAGACCTTCGGGGCCCCGGAGGGCGGTGGGGACCGGGTCCAGGCCCGCGGTGCCGAGGCGGGAAGATGGCCCCTGGAGGGCGGCTGGGCCGGAGGGCGGCCGGAGCTGGTGTACGCCGACCGCGGCGTGGAGGAGCAGGGCCCGGCCGAGCAGAGGCCGAGGCCGCRCCGTTGGGGTCGCCCGGAGCCCGCGGTGCCGGCCACGGAGGCAGCGCGGCCCGGACCGAAACGCCGCCCGAGGTCTGAKGCGGTGGTGAACTTTCTCGAGTTTATTTTGAAGCCGATTGCGAATTAGGATGTGTCATCCTTCAGGTACTCGTGTAAGAATGACTTCTTTCTTTCCRTCTCTTTGAGGAAGATCGGCTGTTCGGGATGGGTCACGTTTAGCCTGGGAGTCTGTCTGCCTCCAAGTGGCGCCCCCTGAGATGGGTCAGGATGGGGATTCAGAGTTCTCCCCAGAGGTTGCTGACACTCACTGTTTGATAAATGCAGATGAACAAAGAATAATAAATGCATGTTAAAAATAAAAACAAAAAGGAAAGGTGAGGCCTGGTACCAGTGGGGGAGGGGGCGCTAGAAGTSGGGTGGTAGGGAGAGAATTGCAGACAGCTTGGAAAGAACTGGGTCAGGAACAAGCTCTCGGTGATGAGGAGCCATTTGGGTTTTGGAAATCATTTGTATGAAAAGTTCACTTTGCGGTAATACTRAGTGGTAGTGTTGTAAATTAAATAAGTCTTGATTATTATTTAGTTTTAGTTAGGTCTTTCTTTCTAGATTATTTTTTAAGGTTTTTCTTATAAGCCATCTAGTCTCAATGTAGTTTCCCAAATATTTATCTAGTACTTATGTTGTTTGGTGTACTAGAGACAGATGATGACTTCTGTAGTCAAAGAGCTTATGGCTTGAATGAGAAAATTTATACAGTGAAGCAGTCTGACAATATCCGTGTGGGCTGAATAATTAATTGCCAAAATGTGAATTATTTAGTAATAGTCTAAAGCACTAGTTCCTTGAGTCAAGGAAGGCTTCAGGTCCAGCCTTAAATGTTGCTAAATTAAGAGATTATGAAGGGTTACTTTGTGTATAATTTATATACATTACTTGATCTGGTCCTATAGATGTACTACACACACACACACACAACCAGTATGGCACTTTAATAATCAAGTGTTAGCTTATTCCTTTTTTTTTTCTTCACACACAGACACTTTATTAGTTTCCTCTACAAGAGACAATAACATYAAACTTTTAACAGAAATGTCAAGTCATTTGAGAGGCCAAACAAATTCCAGGAGGGAAGACCACCTAAAACTCATGACCACCATGGAAGTAGGAAGGTTAAGCTACAGCAAATTATTTAATGTGAATGTTAGCAGTTACGCAGCAGGAAGCAAATTTGTGTTCAGAAGACTATGGTACAATGATAATTTGGGCCCAGGAGTATATACAATGATAATTTGGCCAGAAAAAGGTCAAGATGGCTGAAGATAAAACCATAGAAAGGAATTGGCACAAAGGGACTACATGCTATGTGGTCAAGCAGATGGCAATTAATCAGGCTTCTTCCTCCCTAGAAATATTGGCTGCACTGTGCTACCCCATGGTGATCACACCCAACCGTTGTTTGCAGGTTTTGTTTTTTTTTTTTTTTTTCAGGCTGAGCTGCCTGCTTCTGCCTTAAAGGGTGCTTGCTCAGCTATAGAAATAGGTCTATAGAAAGCCCAGGGCTCTTGTTGTTAATTTAGCTTAGATCTTCGAGAACTTGTCACACATGGGCTGCTTTGTTACTAGTTGTTCTGACAAGGAAAAATCTCCAAAGCATTCATATGCAGAGTCTGAAAGTCCCCAACCATTCAAACAGCTTTATTCAACATCCTTAGAAGTCTGAAATCTTGCAGCAACTGAACTCTAGTTAGATCTGTAAGGTTCACAAAATCATTAAGGAAGCCAGAATGGACAATGCAGTTAAGAAATCCCAACAGTTAATATCAATCTGTCTTTCCCCAATTTCCAATAAACTCTCAATTACATGATATGGGATGTAGAATGCTATAAGGAGCAAGCTGGGTCTTCTGAATTTRTCATCAAATACCAAGGGAAAGAAGGAGTGGGGTTGATTTTATTTTTTAAAAAGCCTCAAGTTATAAAGGAACATGGCTGAACAGGTAGGAAACAGATTCCCCATTATGAGTTCTCCTGATGGCTTCTGCAAGGATCATAGAGATGTCATTCACCTGTATTTTGGAGCAATGCTTCATCTTGTCCTCCTGAGGTATGGTATCGATGACCACTACTACTTCAAAACATACATTACTGATGCAAGAAATGCCTGGCCCAGAAAAGATTTAATGAGTCAAGATAGCATGAACTCTGGTGGCTCCAGCTAAGAGAAGTTTGTCAGCTACATGGCAGATGGTGCCACATGTGTCAGCCACGTCATCCACAAGGATAGCCATATCTCCCACTAACACCATGTGGTCCACTTCATTGGCCTTCTTCCATTCCTTGTGAAACAAGGCAAAGTCCACATTCAATTGGTCTGCAATGGAGGTCACTCTTGGTTCCACTAGCATCAGGTGACACAATAGTGCAGTTCCTCCACTCTGAGATATTCCCCCCACTCCACTTCAGGACAGCTGGCTCTGCATATAAATTGTCAAAGACTTGCAAAACTGTTGTAAATGGATTTCCAAATGAGCACGGCTGTACTCTTTTTTTTTTTTTTTTTTTTTATTTATTTATTTTAGTTCTCTGCGGACACAACATCTTTGTTGGTATGTGGTGCTGAGGATCCAACCCGGGCCACACGCATGCCAGGCAAGCGTGCTACCACTTGAGCCACATCCCCAGCCCACGGCTGTACTCTTTTAACTGTAGTATAGGTGAAATATCAGAATGCTAAGGTAAATTCTTGGATGAAAGAGTGAAAGGATGTGAAAAAAAGCCCTGAATTTGAGAAGCAAGATCCATGGTGATAATATGATCTGCACCAGCTACAGACAGCTTATTTTTAACAAGCTTGGCTAAGATTGGAACCCGGCTCTTATCTTTATCCTGCTGAGCATCAGGGAAACGTGGGATGATTGTAGCAACCCAGCTGGCTAAAGTGATCTTGCAGGCATTAATCATGATCATACCTCCATTAGATTGTTGATTTTACCACAGCCACTCTGAATGATGTAGACATTATCTCCATGTACATTTTCACCAGTTTCCACACGGGTCTCCTGGTTGCTGAATTTCTTGGTTGCACCATGCCTAGCTCTAGGCCCAGGTGGTCAGCAGTTTTCTGGTGTGAGTCCTGATGGGAGCTGCCACTGAAGATTTTGATTTTTGGCATCTTGGGCAGTTACCCTAGGTGCTCTTCACTCATCGATCGCTGCTGCTGCAGGGTTCTGAACTGAAATCGACTCAGACTTAATATTAACCGCTAACCTTTGCTACTGCACCATCTTCAAGTATTAACTTATTCTTTTAGATCAGTTCAATGAATTACTTCATTAATTTCTCCTGAATAGCTTGGGAGGTAGTCCTGGATTTTGCGGGAGAAGGGAAGATAAGGGAAAATAATGATGTAAGATAAGGAGTCTATAAAGCTGGGCATGGGATTATGTTTGTAATCCCAGCAATTTGGGAGGCTGAGGCAGGAAGATTGCAGGTTCAAGGCCTGCCTCAGCAACTTAACCACGCCCTAAGCAATTTAGTGAGACCCTGTCTAAAAATAAAAATGGCTGGGAATGTAGTTCAGTGGTAAAACATCCCTGTGTTTAATCCCCACTGCCAAAAAACAAAAACCCAAGTCCATAAAGCACTTCTAGATATGTTCCAACCTATTTGATAGATTTGTGTGGGCCCACCTCTGTGGGGAGAGACCAGTACAAACCAAGTGAATGGAAAAAACATACTGGGGACATTATGGCTTGCCTGGTAGCCTGTGTGTAGAAGCTTGCCAGGCCTGGTTGTCTGCAAGGTCAGGTCTTAGACAGTAGCTGGAGCTTAGCCTATAGTGTGTGTGAAGAGAGTCTGAATTAAAGCCAAGATGAAGTCTCACAGTAATGGTTCTTAAACCACTAGTTGGTTTGCACAGATTTTTAAGAGGAGTGGTGATATCATTTAATTATAACAGCAGTCAGTTCCCCACCTTTCCAGTTCCTTTCAAAGTTTCAGATTTTGCAGATGAAATAATAAAACATGGCTTCCCTCATTTTGTTGAAGGGAATACTATAGTAAAATTATCTGTTGGTCATGGTATTTTAAACTTTTTAATACCTGTTCAGAGTTCGGTGTAAAAACAAATGTTTTATTGCAAATTGCTGGTCCTATAACTATCAACCCTAAAGCCATAATATCTTTTTTTTCTTGTTTTCTTCTCTCATATCTGGTTTTCTTAAAGCTTTCTGCCCTAAGTGGGTCGAAAAAGGGAAAGGATGGTTCTAGAGTATTTTCTGGTCATGTGGGAAACAGCAGGAGTTGTGCCCAGGTGGAAAGGATAGCATTAGTGAAGGTGGACATGGTCAAGATGAACTTCTAGATCAATAATGTCAACATGCTCAAAGGCTTGCAAAACTGTTGTAAATGGATTTCCAAATGAGCACGCTGTACTCTTTTAACTGTAGTATAGGTGAAATATCAGAATGCTAAGGTAAATTCTTGGATGAAAGAGTGAAAGGATGTGAAAAAAATCTTTTTCTGGATTTGTAGTCTGTAGGAGGCAATTCAGAAAAAGGCACTCCTTTGTTTTTTCTGTACTATTTTCCCTGGTGGCAATCAGGCTGTTTCCCCCCAAGTATTAAAATGGCAGGTGGAAATTTTTATTTCCTCTCTTTGGGGGAAGAAAAAAAAAAACTATCAAAGCTGGGTGTGGTGGGTGCAGGCCTATAATCTCAGCAACTCTGGTGACTGAGACAGGAGGATCACAAGTTCCAGGCCAGCCTCAGCAATTGAGTGCATTCCTGAGCAACTTRGGGAGACCCTGTCTCAAAATCAAAAATAAAAAGGCCTGGTGATATAGTACTGTGGTAAAGCACCCCAGTTCCAAAAACAAAAAAAGAAAAATGAAAAAAAGCTACCAGAATGGAAATTCATAGTGAATGTAAATGACAGGTAATCTTTATACACTTTCCTCCCCCAACTATGATGGGACCAAACCTAGTGCCTCTTGCATGCTTAGCAAGGGCTCTACCACTGAGCTATGCCCCAGCCTTCAGAGGAACTTCTATAATTAAATGTTAAACTGTCAAAAGCTTCGGACAAAAGAGTTTTGGTAGAGATGGCCATCACAATGTTTTAAAGGGAAACAAGTCTGATTTTAAGAGTTCCTAGCTGGTGTTCCCTATTTTCCAGCGTAACAATTTAGCTTCCAACTTCTGACCTAAAAAATGTCCATTCTAGAATCTGGAAGGACCCTTAGGCAAGATCTCTTTGTCCTTCTATTCATTTAGAAAAATTTGCTGAACACCATGTCCAGTATAGGAATACTGTGTTAAAAAAAAAGATAAAGTCCCTGCTCATGAAATTTATGTTCTAGGAAATGCAGAGGGGGAGGTCAAACAAGCAAGATAATTTAATCGTGATAAATGCATGCTAATAACGGGCAGAGAGTGTAGACAGCAACATTAGATAAGGGTAATCAGTGTAGGCCTCTGAGGAGTTGAAACTTGGAAAAGATGAGAAAAGTAGCCTATGCAAAAGTCTGAGAAAAGAGTGTCTTAAGAAAAGAGTGTTTTAAGCAGAGGGGACAAGTAAAAAATTAAGCCCTCCAGTAAGCTGGAACTTGGAGGAGGTTAAGGAACAAAAAGAAGGCTCAAGCAGCTGAAGAAGCAAGCTAGTGTTGGCAGCCCAGTATGAGTCTGAGACTAAAGAGGAGGTCAGGACATTCAGGGCCTTATAGTCCGCGGGAAGAAGTTTGGATGGTAGAAGGATTTTAAAGAAAGAGAAATGATCTGACTTAAAATTTTTATATCACCACTGATGCTACATGAAAAATACAATTTAGGGGAGCTAGAGTAGGAGCAGAAACAGCAGGTTGCCAGGACATTTGGACTCAGATAGTGTCTGGAGAGGTAGAAGTGAATAGATTATGAATTACGGCCAGTAGAATTACTGATGTTTTATTGTTTATTTATTTATTTTTGGTACTAGGGATTGAACCCAGGGGTACTCAACCACTGAGCCACATCCTCAGCCCTTTTTTTTTTTGTATTTTATTTAGAGACAGGGTTTTACTGAGTTGCTTAGGGCCTCGCCAAGTTGCTGAGGCTGGCTATGAACTTGGGATCCTCCTGCCTCAGCCTCCCAAGATGTTGGAATTAACAGGTGTGCCCAGCAGATTGCTAATGTTTAAAATGTGGAGATGAGGAATAGATGAATCAAAAATGACTTCTAGATTTTAGGCTGAGCATTTGGTTGGATGACATTGTCAATTACTGAAATGAGAATTTGGGAGGAGTGACTAGATTAGGTCAGAGACAGTCAAGGTAGACTTTTATTTTTCCTTCTCCCCTTCCTCCCAGGGGTGCTGTACCACTGAACTACATCTTTGARCCCTTCTTAAAATTTCAAGACAGRGTCTCGCTAAGTTGCTGAGGCTGKCCTTGAACTTGAAATCCTGCTGCCTTAGCCTCCTGAGTGGCTGGGATTACCAGGGTGCAATGCCATACCTGGCTTCATTAATCTTTAAGGAACTGAAGACAAGGATGATTCTGAAAGATTTTCAGAAAGAGCAAAGAGGGTAGGTCTTAGAACCCCACAGACTTTCTATGTATGTGTGGGTATGTTTCTGGGGATTGAGCCCAGGGTGTTCTTCCACTGAACTACATTCCCCACCCTTTTCAAAACATTATTTTTTATTTTGGGAAAGGATCTTGCTAAAATGTAGAGACTTGTGAGCCTCCTGCTTCAGCCTTCCTAGTCACTGGGATTATAGGCATGCACACTGTGCTTGGCTAGAAAACCACAAACTTTAAAACTTCAATATTTCCAGTTAAGGTTGTGGAAGGGGTCATTAAAGAGAGCACTTGTGCACTGAAAATAATAAGCAGGAAAGATCTGGATCTAAGAAGAATTTCATTTTCTTCCTTCACAGGGTTATTATGAACTTGACAAGTCCATCAGAAAATATGATAGATGTGAATTTGGGCTTCTTTTCAATCTTTGCCAGAGGCACTCAACACTTTCCTTATGGCTAAGATGGAGGATATTGACTCAGTGCAAAGACTTTTGGTTGAATTTTAATTGATTGAAAGTATACCTAGGTTATGTGGGAGAATGTTTGCTAGGCTTTCCCTGAGAGCTTTGTTTTTGGCTACTTCCCATTTCAATATTTTTTWAAAATATTTATTTTTTAGTRTAGTTGGAYACAATACCTTTATTTTATTTATTTATTTTTATGTGGTGCTGAGGATTTAACCCAGGGCCCCACGTGCTAGGTGAGCGCTCTCCCGCTAATCCACAACCCCAGCCCCCCAATTTCAATATTTTTTATCTGTGTCTTGAGTGAAGGTACAGAATGAACTGCCATGTTAATTTGGTGAGAGACTGAATCTAGAAGGTATATTGAATATGTCTGATCAGATGGCCAATTAAAAATTCAGAAAAGTCTTGACAAACTGGTGTGATAGCCTAGACTAACAAGATGAAATTTAATAGAAATCAGTGTAAGGTCCTACACTTGAATCCAGATTTTCCCAACTAGTCAAGTATAGAATGGAAGAGACATGACTTAGCATAACAATTCTTGGGGGAGGGGAGACCAAGAAATATAATCATTTCTAAGTCTGAGATTACATTGGCAGAGTACTRTATCTGCTGTGGAAGCAAATGCAATTTACATTCTATGCTAATAATATCTAGAACTGGGAAAGTGATAACTTGAATTTGACTGTGTGGTAAAATTAAGTTTAGTTTTCTTAATACAGTATCCAGGAAAAAAGACAAACCAGGAGTCCTTTCACAGACCCATTAGAATGACAGACTCAAACCCATCCCCTGGGAATTAGGTTGAAGTAATTGGGAACACAGCCAGGGAGAGAGAAGTCTCAGTAGACATTTTATAGATGATGTGGAAGGGGGATTAGAGATTTTCTGATGGTCCCCAGTGCAGAACCAGGGCCAATAAATGGAATTTGTAGAGAGAAAGATGCCAAGTTATAGCCATTAAAAAATCYCAAGGCCTGACTTATATAAAGGCAGTGTTCAAGAAGAGTTGATGGGCTTGTGTGGAAAAAATTCTTCCATGTTATGGCTTCCTGAACCTGATAACCTTTCAGGGTCTCAACTTCCTTCAGCTTTTTCTTGACTTTCTACCTGGTGGCTCCCTTGGCAGCTGAAGAGGAGAGAGCAAATGAACTGTTTGGATGCCACAGGAATCTGGTTTCTCAAACTGGGGCTTGTGTACACTGTTGGTTGATAAGATACAAAGGACCTCCCTTTTCAGCACAATGACTGATTATCTCTCTTGCATCATTGTTGTTTTCCCAGGTGACTATAGGCCGAGGATTTGGTGTCACATACCAACTGGTATCAAAAATTTGCCCTCTGATGATTTCTCGCAACCACTGTGTTTTGAAGCAGAATCCTGAGGGTCAGTGGACAATTATGGACAACAAGGTACAGGAATTCACAGATTCACCTAATTGCTTTTATTTATTTTTAAATTTATTTTTAAAAATTTCTTGCTTTTTTTTTGGCTATAATTTTGATTATGCCAAGATAATTTCTAATGCTTGAGTTGAAATTTGTTACYATGAAGGAAACATCTGAATTGGGGATGTAGGTCCTATTCCAAAAACTAGACAAAGTTACTGGAGGAGTTGACCCTTTTGAGATGCAGAGGTCTAGAGACCCTGGGAATCTGCTGAAATTTCTGTAGTGTATCTAYAGCTCAGGGGACAGGAGAGGAGACAGAAAGTGAGCTGACAGCACTTAGCTCCTTCCCTTCCTCACRCCTTTAAATCAGAGCAATTCCCTCCCTCATCTATTTCTCTCTCTGTCTATTTTTGGCATTGGGGATTGAACTAGGGCCTTGCATGTGCTAGGCAAATGCTCCACTGATGTACATCCCAGTTCTCCTCCTTTTTTTTTTTTTTTTTTAACTGTTTTACATATTAGTGTTCTGTGGACGATTTCCTTTGGAGAAAAAATAGTTGTTCTGCTTTAAACAAATTTGAAAACCACTKCTCTAGTGGTCAGTATACATGGTACAGTTGAATGAAAAATACCAAGTTAGGTCATATATAACTTCAAAAAGGCCCAAAGGAGGGGAAATAGTATATAAAACCCAGCAATTAAGTACCTTGCTAGCCTGGTGTGGTGGTACATGCCTATAACCCAGAGATTTTTGGAGGCTGATGTTGCAGGATGACAAGTTCAAGGCCATCCTAGACAACTTAATGTAACCCTGTCTCAAACTTTTTWAAAAAATTAAAAGACCTGGGGWTGTAACTCAGTAGTAGAGTGCCCTTATGTTCAGTCCCCAGTACCACAAATAAACAAACAAGGGAGAAAGAAAGAAGTGCCTAGCTACTCAGGAGACTGAATCAGTAGGAGTGCAAGTTCAAGGCCAGTCTGGATACCATAGCAAGACACTGTTGCCTCCCCAATCCCCTCCAAAAAAAGACTTACCTAAAGTGCAGATAGGCAGATATACTAGTACCCATGAATATAATGAAAGACTGTGAAGTGAGAGAAATTCTAATATGAACAATTAAATTTAAGAAGTATGAAATATCTTTAGATATCATTTTATACTGCTTCACTGCTCTGATTGGAAGGATTTTAAAGGTACCTGTTAGAAGGGAGGATATCCCACAAGCCTGCCCAGCAGACTCATTTTGCATGCATAAATCTACTAGATGTAAGCTGTTGGAGAAAGTATGTTTCTGGTCTAGAATTAAGTTAACACTGCATTGAAGGAGCTAATTTAAAAGCTAAGTGAATTATTTCAATATTATTTGTAAGGTACAATGAACAGAATAGAAGTTGGTACTGAAATTATCTAGTTTAACCCTTTCTGTGGACACAGATACACCTGAGCCTCAGAGATACACTGTCCTCCCAAACTGGTGAATGAGTGAATAACTGGTGAGTTAGTGAATGAGCCATGACTTAAACTCAAATTAAGATTCTCTACAGTGCCCTGTTGATAAATACCAATAGAGGACGTAAACAATTTGCTATGCTAGTTTCATGATTTTAAAAAATTGAAAATTATGCATATCTAAGCTGTAAGTTTTTTTCTTTCTTTCTTTCTGGGTACCAGGGATTGAACCCAGGGGCGCTTAACCACTGAGYCACATCCCCAGAGCCTTATTTTATTTTATTTTTTTTTAGTTGTAGTTGGACACAATACCTTTATTTATTTATTTTTATGTGGTGCTGAGGATTAAACCCAGGGTCTCGCATGTGTGAGGCGAGCGCTGTACCACTGAGCCATGATTGCAGCCTCCCAGCACTTTTTTATATTTTATTTAGAGACAGGGTATATATATTTATATTTATTTATTTTAGTTGTAGTTGTCAATATCTTTATTTATTTATTTTTATGTGGTGCTGAGGATTGAACCCAGGGCCTCACATGTGCTAGGCGAGGACTCTACAGCTGAGCCACAACCCAATCCCTAGAGATAGGGTCTTGCTGAGTTGCTTAGAGCCTTGCTAAGTTGATGAGGCTGTCTTTAAACTCCCGATCCTTCTGCCTCAGCCTCCCAAGCTGCTGTGGTTACGGGCATGAGCCACCATGCCCTGCTAAGGTTTTTAAAGCCTCTAATAGTTTATTTTGAAGCACTTTAGGAGCCAGGAATAGTGGCATGTGCCTATAATCCCAGCACTTGGGAGGATGAGCCAGGAGGACTGTTTGAACCTGGGAGTTTGAAACCAGCCTGGGCAACATAGTGAGACATCCTCAAATAAATAAATACATAAATAAAAATAAAAATTAATCTTTAGGAAGGATGTTTTCTTCATCAGAGTTGGCCATTAAAGAAATGAATTAGTGCAATAGAGGTGAATTCTCTGCTGCTGCTATCTTTGGTTATGAGCCACATGGATGTGATCCATGTATGGGATTAGCAGAATTTAATAGGTTGGGAAGCTACCAGCTGACTCATGGAGTACTCCTGSAAGGTCAGCCACAGGGATGATAGAAGCAGCCTGTGTTAGCAGTAGGTCATGGCTGTGCTCTAGGGTTGCACTCCAGTGTTTCTTCGTACCCTTTCTTGTAAGGCTGTCATGATTATCATTGTGACTCTTCATGTCTCAGTTGGCTAATTTGGAGGAAAGATAGGTTCCTCATTCTTCCAAACCTTTTCTGTACAATTGGTTTAAACCTCTTAGTTTAGTTGGGTCTTTTTTGTTGTTTTGTTGTTTTTTGGTACCAGGGATTGAACCTAGGGGCACTTAATAACTGARCCACATCATCCCCAGGGTCTCACTAAGTTGCTRAGGCTGGCCTTGAACCTGCAATCCTCTTGTGTCARCCTCCTGAGCTGCTGTGATTACAGACATGTGCAACTTGCCTGGCATAAACCTCTTAATTTTGATTCTGTTTATGAGGTGACTGGTTTTTGGGAAAAACTGTGACAAGGGTTTTTTGTTTTTGTTTTTGGTGGAGTTGGGGAGAGTGGTACTGGGGAATCAAACCCAGGGCACTCTACTACTGAGCTACAACTCCAGCCCTTTTTATTTTTTATTTTGAAACAAGGTTTCATTAAGTTGCCCAGGCTTGTGATCCTCCTCCCTTATTCTCTCAAGTAGCTGGCATTACAGGCTTGCACCACTGTGCCTGCCTAGGAACAATTTTTATAAGTAAACCCCTTCCCTCATTTGTTTACTTACTTATTTGGCTTGACAGATGCTCCCTTTCCTTCGGGCTTTTTTCTGGCACAATAGTATTGCAGTTGTCTTCTGCTGATGAGAGATTTGAATTTCTGCTGCAAGATATTATTGTTGTGGTTATTTTTGAAGTCATTTGTCAAGTCTCTTTTTAAATTATTTTTATTTTGTGTGGTTCTGGGGATTAGCCCAGTACAGCAAAACAAACACAAAAAAACAAATAAGAAAACAGCCAACAAAAAAACAAATGGTAGTATTACAAAATTTAGAACTTCAAAAGATACTGTGAGATGAATGAAAGGCAGACTCAGTAGAATGTTTGCTGTATAACCGACAGAACTCCAAATCTATTAAAAAAAAAAGCAAAACACGACAAAATGGAAAAGACAGCACTTCACAAAAGAATGATCCAAATGTTTGATATTCATGAAAAGTTATTCAGCTTCATTAGTGTCCAGGGAAATCAAAGCTACAGTGGAATRCACTGTACATTCACCAGAATGGCTAAAATTAAACTGGTAGTGCCAGGTTCAGGCAAGGATATGGGACAAGTAGCGTTCTTTTATATTTGATGGGAATAAATTGATACCACTACTTTGGAAAAGTATTTGACATTACTTATTAAATTTAAACATATGTAGCTCATGACACAGTATTTTCTCTCTCCAGAAACAACTGGAATGTCCATCAACAAAATGGATAAACAAACTGTGGAGTAGTCTTATATCTTATAATGAAACATTATACTGTAGTAAACATGAATGCATGACTAGACTATCCAACAATATGAATATATCTCACAAGCATAATATTGAGTAAGAGAGTAAATGTGTATATATATATATATATGTGTGTGCGTGTGTGTGTGTGTGTGTGTGTGTGTGTGTGTGTGTGTGGCTTCTTTTGTGAAGCCAGACACACAAAATACTATATGATTATATTATACATACATAATCTATATATATCTTTTTTCCATTTTAAACATTAAATGTTCAAAATTATGTAATGTTCAAAACTAGGCAAAGCTGGCATGCTTTTTAAAGATAGTATTATCTAATTTTATTTATCCATTTCATTAGGAGCAAGGACCTTGCTTATCAAAACTGCCAAAAAAGAGTACTCTGCCTTTTATCATTATTATTTTGTAAATAGATTTTTCCAACTTAATTTTTGGGAAAAGAGTAATTTTCATATTCCTACTAAGATGCCAGTGTTTTAGATTTTTTTTCACGTGGCACTTGTTTGAAAAGAGTAAACCTTACCCCGCCCCCCCTTACCAGGTCAGACAAAAAGAATCCAAAGAAACAACTCAAAATGCCTGTAAAATTATTGCTTTTCTTTCTCTAATGCAGCTGAGGCTACAAATAGAAGGAAATTTGGTAAATAAGTTACAGTTTGTGCTTGCTCCTTCTAATGTGATCGCATRTCCATGAGTGTCAGTCAGTGAGACAGTCTGATACTGTGGGTAGCATTTGTTCAACCTGCAACACTGAGGAAGAAAGCCACACTGAAGACACAAGGAAAATGAGTTGATCCAGTCTGTCTAAAGAACGACATTGAGAAATGGTACTAACACCTTCTTAGAACATGGAAATAAAATATAACCCCGTCAGAGGTACCTTGCCAAGGAGCATGTTGAAAGTCCAGATAGCACCATTCATCAGTGTCCTGGGTCTTATGGCAGCATCTCGGTCACTTAACATAGGAAACAGTGAATTTCAGACTACTTCTATACATCAAAAGAGTGCATGGAAAAAATGCACAGATCATAGACAATC